TATATAAGCTGTATGAATAAAGAATGAAAAACCACATGATCATTTAAGTAGAGGCAAAATAGTTGACACAATCTAACACTATTTCATGTTAAAAACACTTAATAAACTAGAAATGGAAGGGAACTTTCTCAATCTGATGAAGGCTATCAATGAAAAATCCATAGTTAACAATGTACTTAATGGTAAAAGACTGAAAGCTTTTACCCTCAGATTTTTGAATAGGACAAAGACATCCACTCTTGTCACGTCTATTCAACATTGTACTGGAGATTGTAGGTAGGGCATTTGGGCAAGAAAAAGAAAGAAATATCAGCCAGATTGGAAAGAAGATGCAAAACTATTTCTAATTTTTGATCACACTTATATATAGAAAATCCTAAGAAGTTCACACACACACACACACACACACACACAATTAAGGCTAATAAACAAGTTTAGCAAGGTGGTAGGACACAAAATTGGTGTACAAATCAGATGTATTTCTGTACACTACCAATAAATAATCAGAAATGAAGTTAAAATATGTCTATTTATAGTAACATCAAAAATAAAATATTTAGGAATAGTGTAACAAAAGAAGTAAAATATTTGTTCACTGAAACTTACAAACCATTGTTTAAAGAAATTAAAGAAGGCCTTGGTAAATGGGAAGATTTAGCAGCATTCAGGAATACAAGTCAAAAGCATCAGGGAAATACAAGTCAAAACCTTAGTGAACTGTCCATTTCATATCCAGTAGGATAGATATAACTTAAAAGATGAACAATAGCAGTTGTTGGGGAAGATTTGGAGAACTGGTGGGAATGAAATCCTCTTAAACTGCTGGTGAGCGTGTAAATGGTGCTGCCACTGTGTCCGTGTCTCAGAAGGTTCACATAAAGTTACCACGTAGCGCAGCAGGTTCATTTTTTGGTGTAGACCCAAGAAAAATGAAAACACATTCACACAAAAACTTGTACACGAGTGTTCATAGCACCATTATCCATAATAGATGAAAAGTGGAAACAACCCAGTGTTCATCAAATGATGAGTAGATTTTTTTTAATGTGGTATATCCATAAAATGCAATATTATTCAGCCATAAAAAGGAATGACATACTGACAAATGCTACAACAGGGATGAACCTTGAGAATGAAACCCAAATATAAAAGGTTGCATGAATGTGAAATGTCCAGAATAGGCAAATCTAGAGACGGAAAGTCTTGCCTAGTGAGGGAAGATGGGAAATGACTGTTAATGTATATAGAGTTTCATTTTGGAGTCGTGAAAATGTTCTGGAATTAAGTAGTGGTGATCATTTCTACTTTGTGAATATAGTAAAAATTGAAGAGTACCCTTTAAGGTGGTGAATTTTATGATATGTGAATTATATCTCAATAAAAGGATAATTAATTTTTTAAATGTCTTGTAAGTTTATCTTTTGGTCACCTTTGGAAATTACTGTGGCATGAACTCATTATTCTGCAAAGTGATAAATTTATGGAAATAATTCTGTATTAACTGATAACAGAATGACCAAATAGCTCGGGAAAGCTTTTTTTTTTTTAATGGTAGTTTTTCTAAAAATCGTAACTAATTAATGGTAGGACACCACTAATTTGCTGTATCTACTGGAAAGATTAATGATAGTCATTGGCTACTAATGAGGGAACTTGATGGTGAATGGATCAGGATTGTGATTCATCTGATCCATCTTAACATTACTCAAAGACATTATGTGTCTCCTGCCTTCAGCCTATTGAATCAAACAAGGGAGTTTTCCTTCTGCAGCTGCTCATTCAGTCTGTAAAACAATCCTCTGTAGTTTTGTGTGCCTCCTCAGACTTCCCCTTTCCTCTCCAGGCACTCCTGTTTTAACTTACTGCCTCTGGCAGTCTTTGTCAGAAAGTTTGGTTTAGGGCAAGATGAAGTTTGTGTATTGATTTTTCTTTTCTTTTTATGCTTTTGTGTGATTCTTCAAAAAAAAAAAAAACCAACTTTTTATTTTATATTGGCATGTAACCTGTTAACAATATTGTAATAGTTTCAGGTGCACAACAGAGTGGCTCAGCCATACATATACAAGTATCTATTCTCCCCCAAACTCCCTTTCCACAGAGGCCGCAGCGTAACATTGAGCAGAGTTCCCTGAGCTACACAGTAGGTCCTTGTTGGTTGTTAATTTTAAATATAGCAGTGTGTACCTGTCCATCTCAAGGTGATAGGGTCATGGATGACTTTATTAAGTCATCTTCAACCTAAGGACTCTTTGGGAACCAAGTCAATAGACTAGGTGAGAGGTAAGACCTGAGCTAGGTCAGAGGGGATGTCAGGAGAGTAACAGGACAGAGTGACTTGTTTGGGGATATCAGGGATTTCATTAATGTTTGTTAACTGTGGAATGGAAGTAAGTGAGCTTGTCTAGTTTTAGGGTTTCATTGCAATTAAGGTATGAATTGTGCCAGTGTATCTGTGGTCCATTTCAAGAGTTACCATGCATAAATTGAGTCAGTCATGTGCTTCTGGAGGAGAGGTTACACACTGGTGGCTGATACGTCAAATCTGGCCCACAACTGTGTTTTATTTGGCTCCCACAACATGGTTTTTTTTTTTCTTTAATTTGTTGCCAACATTTCAAAATAGAATTCACATAAAACTTAGGGTTTCTGGCTTCTGTTGAAAAAGCAGAAGATCTGGCAACACCGGGCTTACATTTTCCTTAGGGCATTAGCTTCAGCTTAAGCTTAAAAGTGACTGCCTTCGACCCAGTCCTCTGCCGCTTCTGTAACTCACTGCCTTTGGGGGCGTTTGAGTTTGTGATCCTTACTGCAGTAGTTTTGGGAAGCTGTTTTCTAAATCCTACACTGTTACTGTCAGCTACCTTTCTTCTTACATTGCTATTTTAACACACTGTATAACTCCTATCTAATTAGAATATGAGCTGTGCTAGCAGTTAAGTGTGTGTCTTCTATTTCTGGATATTCTCCGTGGTGCTAGTATATGGCCTTACATACTTAAGGAAGTCAGTACATATCTATACATCTCTACTCAGATTTGGCAATGTAATTGAGGAAGCCCAGTGTCCCTGGTATAGGGCTTCCCTTGTGGCTCAGCTGGTAAAGAATCCGCCTGCAATGCAGGAGACCTGGATTCGATCCCTGGGTTGGGAAGATCCCCTGGAGAAGGAAAAGGCTACCCACTGCAGTATTCTGGCCTGGAAAATTTCATGGACTATATAGCCGATGGGGTCGCAAAGAGTCAGACACGACTGAGCAACTTTCACTTTCACTTTCAGTATCCCTGGTGGCTCAGATGGTAAGGAATCCGCCTGCAGTGCAGGAGACCTGGGTTCAATCCCTGGGTTGGGAAGTCCCTTGGAGGAGGGCATGGCAACCCACTCCAGTATTCTTGTCTGGAGAATCCCTATAGTTGGGGAAGCCTGGCGGGCTGCAGTCCATGGGGTCCCAAAGAGTCAGACACTACTGAGCGACTAAGCACAGCACAATATGCCATGATATTCAAGACATTTTTATGATACAGGAAACTGTCTTGACACATTGATTTGGAAGCAGATTAATATTTTATTGGCCATATTAATAATGTGGATCCATTGAGTTAGATCTGATAAGTATTTTCTCATAGGTAAATGATTGTAGAAAATAAAAGGAAAAGGCTAAGCTCTTTCTTGGGATATTCATCAGAAATGATGTAGAAAAATGAATTTATTGGTTTTGTTTTTTTAAAAGCTGTTACTTGATGATACAGGTACAAAGAGATAATGCAACAGTTGGTGGTGGTTAAGAAGTATAGGGGGAAAAAAAAGAAGTATAGGAAAAAGCTATGTTGCATACATGTGGTTGGATTGTGGAGCTCAGTTTTAGAGGAAGTCCTTCATAGTAATGAAGTATGGAACAACAGACTGTTTCCAAATAGGAAAAGGAGTACGTCAAGGCTGCATATTGTCACCCTGCTTATTTAACTTACATGTAGAGTACATCATGAGAAACACTGGGCTAGAGGAAGCATAAGCTGGAATCAAGATTGCTGGGAGAAATATCAATAACCTCAGATATGCAGATGACACCACCCTTATGGCAGAAAGTGAGAAAGAACTAAAGAGCCTCTTGATGAAAGTGAAAGAGGAGAGTGAAAAAGTTGGCTTAAATCTCAACATTCAGAAAGCTAAGATTATGGCATCTGGTCCCATCATTTCATGGCAGATAGATGGGGAAACAGTGGAAACAGTGTTAGACTTTATTTTTCTGGGCTCCAAAATCACTGCAGATGATGATTGCAGCCATGAAATTAAAAGATGCTTACTCCTTGGAAGGAAAGTTATGACCAACCTAGACAGAATATTAAAAAGCAGAGACATTACTTTGCCAACAAAGGTCTATCTAGTCAAGGCTATGGTTTTTTCAGTAGTCATGTGTGGATGTGAGAGTTGGACTATAAAGAAAGCTGAGCGCTGAAGAATCGATGCTTTTAAACTGTGGTGTTGGAGAAGACTCTTTAAGAGTTCCTTGGACAGCAAGGAGATACAGCCAGTCCAGCCAAAAGGAGATCAGTCCTGGGTGTCCTGGAAGAACTGATGTTGAAGCTGAAGCTCCAGTACTTAAGCCACCTGATGCGAAGAGCTGAGTCATTGGAAAGACCCTGATGCTGGGAAAGATTGAGGGCAGGAGGAGAAGGGGATGACAGAGGATGAGATGGTTGGACGGCATCATCAACTCGATGGACATGGGTTTGCGTGGACTTCGGGAGTTGGTGATGGACAGGTAGGCCTGGTGTGCTGCACTCCATGGGGTTGCAAAGAGTCGGACCCGACTGAGCGACTGAACTGAATTGAAATGAATTGCTATAAAGTTATTGAAATTGTCTTATTTTATGAACACAACTATATCTTCTTTAGCCACAGACTAGGCAGTTGGGTAATGGCATGAATGTCTAGTTTGAACATTGTAAATGTTGGTTTCATGCCATGAATATTTCTTAACCTGTATTGTGTATTTTTACACAGGTGAGAAATTCATCCACGCTTCTCTTCAGTACCTTGATCACAAGAATATTTGGAGTTAAAAGGGGAAAGGATGAACTTTCCAAAAAAAATAGGTAAGCTTCATCTAGTGCTAACTTTATTTTTTATAAAATATCATTCTGGCCAAAAATAATTTTTAGAATTTTGCTTACTTTTATAGATTGATCTAGAGCATAAAACTATAAAAACACTATAGTAAATGAACATATGCTGCCAAATTCTAAGCCCCTAGGCAAAAATATCTACTGTTTAATAAGTGGACCTTTCAAAGCAACAAAAATATTGGAAGGTAGCAAGGTCTGAAATGTAGAGCTTGTTTCTCAGTGCAACAGCTAAAGTTGTCTTTTTGTTTTGTTTTGTTTTTTATTTAATCTTCTTCAGGTATTCCTGAAATGTCCTAAATTGCTTTATCTTGATATGTCATCAAGTACTAGCTTGTGTAATATCTTTGCTTTTATAGTAACTGGAAGTTTAAATGTTTATGGTATAATCATCGGGCCATGTCCCAGATTACTTCTGCATTAACCTGTAGCCAAGGGGAGTAGTTAAGATGTTGGCCACAAAAAAAAAAAAAAAGATGTTGGCCACACAGAATAAACAGTGCTTTTTACTTTTAGGTCTTCTGTGTTGTTTACTCTCTAAGATGTTTTTCTCTTAAGATTTTTTTTTTTAATGTCTGGAAAAAAAACTTATTGAAACACTTTGATTATGAGTAATCTTTGGATACAATGCAGAAGTTCTGTTCATTGGTTTTTAAAGAAGAGAAGCTTTGAATAATTGTTTGTTTATTAGCAGTTGGGAGGTTTTAATGGCAGTCTAGTGGCTTGCAGTTGTTAACACTAGATGTCACTGTGGCTGCATGTTTAATCACCTCCTGTAACTATTTAGGGTCTGATTTGGCCCAGTGGTCTTTCTCTTGATGCTCTAGAGATAAATCAAGCCCTATTCCTCTCCTGCCTAAAAAAGTTGATGATCAAACTTTTAATTCAGATTTTAAGCCCTTGTTTATTAAAATATATTTTCTTGTGGTGGAACTAAGTCTTCGGGATTAGAAGATATCATGAAATAATTGTATGATGCACCATTAGTAATTCTAATGAAACCTATTGGTAGTTCTGAATTGTCATTTAAATTGCTGTTTATCACCCCGTGCCTGCTAAGTTGCTTCAGTCGTGTCTGACTCTGCAACCCCTATGAACTGTATCCTCTGTCCATGGGATTCTCTAGGCAAGAATACTGGAGTGGGTTGCCCCACCCTCCGCCAAGGGATCTTCCTGACCCATGTATCGAGCCCACATCTTTTGCGTTTCCTGCCTTGCCAGATCGGTTCTTTACCACTAGCGCCAACTGGGAAGCCCTATTTATCATTCCATAAAATTCAGTGAATATTTAAATGGAAAGCAATTGGCTATAAATGTGAATTCCTTGAGTATACTAAGAAAATACTAGAGAGGTTTTTTGGGTTTTTTTGTTTTTGTTTTTTTAGCTGAGTTGTATTTTTAATAAGGATAACATTTTTTTTTTTTGAATGATTATAATTTTTACTATTTGGCTCAGTTCCTAAATAAATTCTTCCTATCACTAGTTATTTTTCTTTTTAGCTTTGCTTATTTTGTTAATAATTCAACAAAATGCTAAGGGTTAAAATGGTTTGGTCATATTAGAAGGCCATGGTAAATAGTGTGTAAATAAAACATGAGGTTATCAAACAAGTAAAATTAAGGTTTAAAACTGAACTCGGAGAAATGCTCTTTTTTTTCCCTTTTACTTTTTATAAAAGTGATTCTTGGATGTGTATGCAGCTTTTACTATGTATAGGAGAAAATGATCAGATCCATTCTATGTAGGCTGCTTCTGAGAAGGGTGGAAGAATAGCACAGTGGAACCACACTGCTATAATCTCTTCGCCACAGCATGCTGATGGGAGCCTCCATTCTAAGTTCATTCCTCTTAAATAGGAAAAGTTTCAGAATATACAACTTTCCTAGAAAGAGGGAAATTGAATATTCACATAATTGTTTTGAGTAAAGCTGACAAGTAAAATGAAGGTATTAAAATGTTAACTTTTTAAAACGTGATGAGTAGTTTTGGTAAGAGTTTTTATTTCAGTAATCTGAAGCTTGGTATATTTCATTACATTTTCAAGGCTTCTGTTCTCTGTTTAACCCTCCGAGAGTCTTATTTCTTCGCAGCATTGCTAGATTTGCTCTCTAAAACCTTAGTGTCTTTAGCTTGCCATTGTTTTTCATGATTCTTCTAGTTGTTCTTTGTTTACTTATGTCATTTTGGGGTGAAATGTTTATGTACCTGTCTGCTGCAATATTAAGTCCCTGAAGGCAGAGTCTTTTGCTTCTATTTTGTGTATATGTGATGGGTGCTGTAAGAATGCTAGTAATAATGATGTCTTTCTTGTTGGTTGGTTACTCAACCATTGAATAACTAAACTCAGCCAGTAAGACCTCACAGGCTGGTGAAGTCTACTTTCACAGCTACAGACTGTTCTGCCACAATCTTGCAAATATGTGCTCTTGATCAGAAAGGAACTGGACATAAAAACATCTGCCTTTCCCATCTAGTGGGGAGAAAAGTGTCTATCTTGGAGTAAACAGACTTGGTTTCTAAGCATTTTGCTGCCACTGGAGATGACCTTAATAGACACCCTTATCTGCTTTGCACTTCAGTTTCTCCATCTATAGACCAGGAATGATAAAATCTGTGTTTTGTATTCATAGGGCTACAGGGAGGATAAAGAAACTACTAGTTCATTTTCTTGTGAAATATTCAAAGTTAGTTAAGTCGCTCAGTCATGTCAACTCTTTGCGACCCCGTGGACTGTAGCCCACCAGGCTCTTCCATCCATGGGATTCTTCAGGCAAGAATGCTGGAGTGGATTGCCATTGCCTTCTCCAGGGGATCTTCCTGACCCAGGGATTGAACCCAGGTCTCCTGCATTGCAGGCAGACGCTTTAACCTCTGAGCCACCAGGGAAGCTCAAAGTTCTATGCAATTAGAAATATAATTTGTTTTTTCTCTGTTATCACTTCTTTTATTATACTCATTCCATTGTCTTACATTGTCTTCTGGACTACAGGATCAGTATCTTATCCTTATTTTTGTTTGCCTGGTGCTTAGCATGGTATCTGGCATGACCAGAAATACTTGCTTAATGAATAAACAAATTTTTTTTTACTAGATGAGAGATGAGACATCTGGTTTCTACTCCTGCCTTTGTTGTCATAGAGCCACCATAACCAAATTAGTTAACCTGTCTGGGCCTTGGTTTTCTCCTCTAAGATAAGAGATTTGGACTATCCTTGTGGTCTGTTGTTTCTGTCACATAATAAGCTAGGGTTTACATAATTGTTAATAGAATTGTGAGTTTGGTAAACTGCTGTGTTCCCAGTGCCTAGAACAGTACCTGCCTGGTAGTTCAGTTGAGTTCAGTCACTCAGTTGTGTCCGACTCTTTGCGACCCCATGGACTGCAGCACGCCAGGCTTCCCTGTGCATCACCAACTTCCGGAGCTTGCTCAAGCTCATGTCCATTGAGTTGGTGATGCCATCCAACCATTTCATCCTCTGTCGTCCCCTTCTTCTCCTGCCTTCAGTCTTTCCCAGCATCAGGATCTTTTCCAATGAGTCAGTTCTTTACATCAGGTGGCCAAAGTGTTGGAGTTTCAGCTTCACCATCAGTCCTTCCAATGAATATTTAAAGGAATATTGATTTCCTTTAGGATTGAGTGGTTTGGTCTCCTTGCTGTCCAAGGGACTCTCGAGAGTCTTCTCTAACACCACAGTTCAAAAGCACCAATTCTTTGGAGCTCAGCTTTCTTTATAGTCCAACTCTCACATCCATGCTTGACTACTGGAAAAAGCATAGCCTTGACTAGACGGAACTTTGTTGGCAAAGTAATGTCTCTGCCTGGTAGTAGGAACAAGAAGTCCCCCTTTCATGTATAAAGGAAGGAGCAGGGAATTTCTATGGTGGTCCCGCGGTCAGGAATCCGCCTTGCAGTGTGGGGGACATCAGCTCAATCCCTGGTCCAGGAACTAAGATCCCACATGCTGTGGAGCAGCTAAGCCCATGCACCACAACTGGTGAGTTCATGTGTTGCAACGAAAGACTCCCACATGCCACATCTAAGACCAAATGCAACCAAATTAAAAATACATATATACTTTTTTTTTTTTTAAGAAAAAGAAAGCAGCAGAGGTTCTGCATCCCCATTAATAGGTATGTAGAGTGTGCTTATAATGATTGAACTCTGGAGCTCATTAGCCTTGTTCTAGATGGGCTTTTTGGATTATGAAGAATGAGAAAACTTGAATTTCACTTGTTTTAAATACTGTTATTACATTTTAATTTTCTAAAACACCTTTCCTTTCTATTTATTACCCCTAGACTGACTTGGCCTGACAGAATGAATAATTGATCCTTTGTAGAATCAGAAACTACACAGCTCTGTGATGTGTGGAGTGTGCTGGGCTTCCCACATAGTCTCCATCTGCCTTGAATGGGCTCACCTGGGTAGTTCCTCATTCCTCACAGACAGGAGCTAAACCAATGTGATCTTTAACTCTGGTCTTTCCCTTTAACCCCTTTGTGTATTAACTGTCAGCTATTCTATTCCCTGGTAAGTGACAAATATCAACATACATGTAATAGTCTGAAAGGCTTTATTTTATTCATTACTTTTCAAGAGCTTATTTTTGTTTTCTTTAGTTTTTTAAATGTTTAATTGGAGGATAGTTGCTTTACAATGTTGTGTTGACTTCTGCAATGTGAATAGGTGATAAATATACATATATCCCCTCCCTCTTTTTTTTTTCTTCTTTTACTCAGCTTTATTGACGTAAAAATGACAAAATTATATATATTTAAAGTGTGCAACATGATTTGACATACGTATACATTGTGAAATGATTACTAGATTTTGCAATTCTGTTTGGAATTCTATCTCAGTTAAGTTGAAGTTGCCCTAAAATATTTTAAACATATAACTACCTGATTTTCAAAGATAAGCCTGAAATATGATTTTACCCTCAAGATGACATATGAGGAATTCAGCCTTTAG